GCACAGGTCGATACAAAAGGTCCCATAGCCTCAGCTGGCCCCTCCCCTCCTCCAGGCCCCCAGACAAGCAGACACATACACCCCTTGGGGCCGGTTAACAGTCTTTTACCAGAGATTGCAAACCGAGGCCATAAACTTTTTTAAATTACCAATATTTTTAAATTGGGAGATTTTACATAAAAACCTGAAGATTTCAACTAAAACTTTCTTATTAAAAAATGTAAAACATCGGAAGATACAGCCTACCTAACAGGCCCACGTTCCCACTAGCAACAGTTGGAGCTGAGTAGAGGCTGCTCCTTGAAGACAGGTGGGTGCTGGGTTCCCCAGAGCCCCCTCCCAGCCAACTTCACCCATCTATCTTGCCTGGGTCCTGTGGGGGGCGGGGTCCTGTAGTTCCTACCCTAGAGAATCCCAAATTCCCTGCCCCACCTGTTAAAAGATCCAGGAACCCTAAACACTGCTCTGCCACCATGGCCACCAACAGCTGTGGCTGGAGCCCTGTGTCTGTGCCTGAGAGATGCAGAGGCCCTTTCAATTCTGGATGTTTATTTCTGAGAGGCTCCCAGGGCGTGGGGCGGGGGGCTGAACCCTGAGTGGGAAGCCAGGCCACCTCCTAGCCCCAGGATCCTCTCCAAGCCCAGTGTCTGCTGCAAACACGGCCTGGCTCCTGCCAGTGATGTCAAGATCCAACAAACCCGTTCTGTCTTGAGGATGACTCACGTTTCCCCTGTTTAAAAAGACACTGATTCCAAACAATGCTGCCTAGTCCCAGCATTGCTTGTCTTACAGTCACGCGCCTCTCTCGCCTCTTTGCTCACTCAAAGCCTCAGGCCCCAGCTGCAGGGATTTTCCGGGTCAGGGAAAATTAAAAACTGCAGCTTTCTCTGAGTCTGGCCCGGGTACTTCCCATGCCTGCTCTCAGCCCTGGGTCCTGAGGAGGCTGACCTGGGGCAGACCTGGGATGCCCACACTCCCCACCCCAGGCTGCAGGGCCCTCACCCTGGAGGCAGCTGGGTGGGCAGCCCAGCTGCACCCATAACTGGGTAATTCTCGATGGCTCACCCCAGCCTCCAGCTGCAATCGGACAGCCCCACTGCAACAGTGGCTCAAACCCTGACCATCCCCAAAAAGGCAAATTGTTTTCAAGATTCCAAATGGTCTCCTATGAACCCACTCACCAGCCCCTCACTTCTGCCCCCTTCCACGGAGAAAGTCGAACCTGTCTCCTCCTCAGCAAACCGTGACGCTGGCTGG